GGGGATGAGGAAGCCAGGCTGTTTTCTGCTAATCTCTGAAACCGGAGACGGAGGAATGTCGGTGAAGACGGTAACGATGATTAAGCGATTTAAGTCCCATCGGCGGCGGATAGTCGTTAAAGACGATCCGGGGATCGATTCCGGAAACGGACTCGTTCCGCTTGGATTACGTAAGAATTTCCTGGTTACTGGCCGATGGACCGTTTAGAAACTGATCTGGATTCGCTCAAGCTAATCCTCTTATTCGTTTCGGCATCGGCTCCCATAATTGATTATTTATCTCTTAATTGTACTTGTTAAAGATTTCTTAAATTTTCTCTAATCTCAAACATAACCGAGAAATTTCAAATGATTTTCCAAACCATATAATGTTACGTCTACTGTGTAGCATAAAGGTAAACATGTAGCAAGCAATTGATTACAGTTTGCTAATTATCTTAATTAATTAACAATTAGCATTGGGTTCTTTCTGATGCTTTGCTCTCGGGTATTTTAATTCCTACTAATTTGGAGTCTCGTTCGGACCTGCAGAACTCTCGCGGGAGCTAATTAAACATTAATTAAAGCTACCATTTGGTATTCCAATTACGACTTTGTAAAAAGATATTCCTGTTGATTTGTAAATCGTTTGCGTTCCACTGTACCATCAGTTAACTGGTTAATGAGTCTGTTTAAACAATTGACTCGAGCAGAGCTGCATATATGCGCATTCTCTTTATCGATAGATTTACACCTGCCGGCGTTAATGAATTCAGACGCAAGTATGTAAATGCAATGTAAGACAGTAGGTACATAAGTAAGATGCCACGGAGCATCTCGGTTAACGGCCGATTAATAACTTATTAACATCGCCAGTCATTCGGTTAACGATCAAGCGCTATTACTGCGTTTCTTGGGCACCGATGTAGCTACTCCAGAAAAACGGCACCGTCATTACGACGAACATTTGCAACCGCTCGCAACGAGCCTGCGGGACATCGGCAGCGACGCACCGCATTTACCTTCGACGGTTCTGCTGCGAATAAATGTGCTCGTCTTTTTGTTGCAAAGCTGTTGGCTTAGTTAGTCTTGCGATATAATCGACTCTGTACATTTTAACAGTTTTTCCACATTCGAAAAACGTTTGACGACCTTCTTCTACGATCTTAAATTGATAATTTCTTGTTTTATTTGTTACAAAAAGAATTTCGTGTTCTAGTATCTCGTCAAATCTTATTCGTCTGTGCAATCGTACAATTTGAAGCTCGCATTGTCTGCGTTCTGTTGGTACTTTCTGGTTGGTTAAAAATAATTCAAAGGAAACGAAGGGTTAAAGGTACAATCCTCTGTTCTCAGTTTCTGTCCGTGATCGCGTCGCAGGAAAAGGTGGCCTCAGGGTGCGGCACGCACGGGGCCCGATCGTAACAACTCCGAGACATGACCGTAGCTCGCGCGCGGGGCCCCTCGGCGAGGCGTCGGGCCTCGACACGCCACACATATTAGAAACGAATATAAATATATCGGGACCCACGGTGGTAGGGAAGGGCGGTCGCGTATTGGCGGCGTGGAAGTTACACGCAGCGGCGTAGCAGGACCCGAGCACCGCGATCGGGCCCCTCGTTCCCCTGTCCCCCGTTCGCGGTGCTGTTGCCCCGCGCTTCTCCGGCTGCCGCGCGGTCCCAGGACACGCTCAGTGTCCGCTCGGCATCAGCACGCCCGAGTAAGAACCACGGGCCGCTTCTAGAAGCTTTTTAACGCGTCCACAAACTGTGTTCATTTCCGAACCTCGTTTCCTTCTATCAATATTTCTTTCTCATTGGTGTTCCGGCGAATCTAGTCTCCGACGTTCGTATCTTTCCACGAGAATCGATCTGAAGGATACCAGTGATCGTGACTTTCGTTCATATTTCATTGTTATCCTGGCAAGGATCCGATTGAAAGGATTCTAGCGATGGTCTGTGACTGACTTTCATTCGCATTTCCGCTCCGATCGATTTGAGAAGATTCCAGTGATATCCTGTCGGTTCATCATCGAATGGTGCTACTAGTCGGACGTGCGACGTTGATCGGTGGTGGTTGACAAGATGAAGGTATTCCTGATTGAATTCCATCGGACCGGTCCCGGAATCGGGTGACACGTCGCGTGTCACGGCGTTCGACGTGAATCGAACCCGATCGACGCCTAGGAAAGAGAGCCGACGGTCGCGTCGGAAGGGTGGAGGCCCGCGGACCGGTGTATCGGCGTAGCCGATCGATCCGCGCGAAAACGTTGTTATCGTGTACCCCTTTGTACGTTCGGCCGCGTATTAAAACGTTAATCTCCGGCTGTACTACCGGTTATACGTACAGATTGCCTCTCCTCCCTCTAAACCCCCCCCCCGTCCCTTCTCGCCAGCTCTCATCCTTTCTCCGTGCTCTTCTTCTCTCCTTCGCGCTCCTCCTTCCTAGCTGCGTCTTCGTCCCTCGATCTCGCTCCAACCTGACCGCCACTTTTCTCTCTCTCTCTCTCTCTCTCCTTCCATCCTCGCGGCTCCGATCGCTTTCTCTGCTGTCCCTGTCCTACCGGACTCGCTCGTCCTTGTCGAGTCCTGGCGAGTCCTGTTCGGTGCTTGCGGAGCGCGTGCCAACGGAAAGGGGCCGGAAAAAACATGGTACCACGTCGGTTCGGTGCTGATAATACCTTGGTGTCTTTATCTCCCGTGAAATTGGCGAGGCTTAAACAGTGCCGTGTTCGGAGAACGGATTCTGTGTTGTGGTGTTAACGTTCCCTTGCGGTGATGATGCGTGGATTTGGGAAATTCCGAATCGTGGACAAACGGTCTGGTGTCAGTGTGACCAGGATTATTATGATTCGAAGAAGATGGAGAAACGATAATTGCTCTTGGAACTGATTGTTCATTTCGAGGAACCATGTCGAGTCTAGCGAGGAGACGGAAGACGTCGGTCCTAGGCTCGAAGAGATGGTGGCAGGGTGGCTGCTGGGCCACCAGGAGCCACCAGGAAGCCTACCTTCGGAAACTGTACGCCAGGAAGAACGAGCAGACGAGCAAGGTCGACGACGATCCATCCAACCGACGAGACCTGACCAACAGTTGGATGTCCAGCGCCGTTTACGAGCTGCCCACCAGCGAGGAACATTATTTGGACGCGTTCCTGAGGAACCGCGAGGACGGGAACGAAGTGGACGACGTGATCGGGTGTCCCGCTTTGGCCACCAGGAGGACCAGCCCCACGGAGAAGTGCGTCGAGTACTTGAACGGTGCCCACGATGTTGCCGCGTTCGAAAACGAACGGAGGATCGCAGGGGAGCCGATGATGGCCGCCGATTGCGGCTCCCTGCATTCGGGTTACGATGTCGCCGCCTCTGCCGCAGAGTGAGTTGATCCCGTTTCGCTGATCGGACCTGTCCGAGGGAAAGTTTTTTTCGGCCGACGCGTCGGCCTGTTTGCCCATACGCCCGGGTGTCACGGCAATCTTGTTTTCTTTTTCTTTCGCCGCCCTTCCTCGGGTCCTTTGGTAATGGAGAAACGTCTTCTTGTCTCGTTACGTTGATTGTTCGAGAGCTTTGATGGACAGATCTCGGTGATGTTGCTCAGGGCACTGTTTCTCAATACTTGAACAAGCATTTATCTCTTGTGTCAACTCGAGGTAATCAAACAGACACAGCGATCTCACGTTAGACAGTATAGAAGACTTTCTTCCACAGAACAATAAATTAATGCAGATATTGAAAATAATAAAGCGGATCGAAATGAGGCCATGCAATTACAGATAGTAAAAAATGTGTTATTGGCAAAAAGTGAAATCGGTTGTACGGTGTTCCATGTTTTATTGCCCGCAATGATAGACCGCCGTTTCCCCTGCGCGTAATCAGGCCAATCTTCTGCGAAACTAAATTCGCACTTTCTCGTCGGAAATTGAATTCCCGTGTTTTTCTCTCGAATGCGAGGGACGAATCGGTTTTTAAATAAGCGTGAGCACGCCGCATGGAAACTGCGGGGTTCCGAACGGGAACAGTTGCCTCAGCCGTGTAATCAGGCCTACCACTCGCTGTCAATTCGATGTTCCTCATGCAAATAAGACTCCTCGTCGCGCCCAGCGAATCGCGCTTGTGCAACTTAATGACAAACCGCCGTGTAAATTGTAACACCGCTTTACGACCAAGGCGAATGTACACTTTCCTTTTCTGTTGCGTGTACATAAACCAAATCAATAAACTCATGATTTTCTAAAGACGTTCAATAAAATAATGCTTCCCTGAAATTACAGCAGAAATTGCACCGCGTCACTAGCTTTTTAGTGTTCGGGCTCTCTGTTGTAATTTCTCTGACAAGAAATAAAGGGTGTTTCTTTGGGTATCGTAATTTCACATTCTTTCTCTTTTTTGTCTCAATTAAAATTGAAGGGTTTCGTTCAGAAGTATTAATCTTCTGTCTTATTGCATCCTTTCGTTTCCCTCTGAGATTGTAGGACTCCGCCGGGGTATACTAATTTTATTTCTGATTACATTTTTCTCTTAATTAAAATGTAGGCTGCGTGATGCGAATGGAGGTCCTTCGGTTTCTTCGAATCCGCGGACACCGATGGCAAGCAGATTTATCACTTCCTGTGGGAAAAGAATTTCTTCTCGGAACGCTATTACACCTTTACACGCACTTTCTTATGTACCCTTATCGCGATACAATAATTGAAACAAAATCTCTGCTGGTTCGGTTAAAACAAAATGAAATTGAACAAAATATATGGCTTGCGTGAGCACAAGCGAGATCAATAAAATTATTTTCTAAAGAAGATCAATAAAATAATGCTTTCCTTGCATATCCTCTATCATCGATTCCTTATCATGATACAATAATTGAAGCAAAATCTTTGATCAACGGTTTAATTAGAACTTGTCTTGGTTGCCTGTTCAATTATGAACAAAAAGAAATTGAGAAGATATGACTTGCTTAACCGTGAGACATAAAGAAGTCGAATAACTTCGTTACGACTCGAACTCAGGCATTGGATTCTGGTTACAGGAAGGTGTGCAGAAGCTGCAGGTGTCCCAGGGAGGAGCATCAGCGGACCTCGACGGAGGCGGGCGGTCCCTCGGGACTCGGCCTCGGTCCTGGTCCGCCGATGGCCATGGGCATGGGTTACCAGAGCGGGGCCGCCGGTTCGTCTCACCAGGAACCCTTCAAGAGTCCCGTGCAACCGGCCCCGCCGGGTCTCGCCCTTCAGGAGGCCCTTATGCATCATCAGAGGCACTCGCAGAGCGACGATGACAGCGGATGCGCGCTCGAGGAGTACACGTGGGTGCCGCCTGGTCTCAGGCCCGATCAAGTAAGAATTTTATCTTACGAATTATGATTCTTCTAAAATTCTATCATGCGGGAGGTATAATTATTTCGATAACGATGTGACAAATACAAACATGCTATACAGTCGTCACATGTGTTATGAATTTATAAGATAAAAAATAAAAACGCTGCATTTGTACAAAATATCAAAAGCTGTGCATGTATGTTGCAATATTTAAATGATAAAAGAAGCTCATGTTTAAAAGTTGATAGTACAAATGTTTCTTTTCACATAAATGTCTGTACACTAGTCATATGGGCGCAGCTTGATCCAATATGCGGCGTGCGCGGTGAATTTACATAAAGGTTGACTTTCTCTCAGTGAGATTTATCAGAACAGTTGCAGAATACTCGAGATATCTAGAATCACGTTCAACAGGTTCTGGTATTACTTAAAGTGGGTATCCGTTATACCGAAACTGTAATTTTGAAATTCCATAAGCTAGATCAGCCAAGATTCCATAAAATACTGATGATATGTAATAAATATCGATCCCGTAAGCAGAATAGAAGCTTCGGACTCGTATCTAGCATTTCGTTTAGGGGAGGAGCCCATCGCGTGTCTCCCATAACGAAGAATTTTAATTCTGAATAATTCATGACTGATAAATCTGAAGGAGTCTGTAGTGACCGTCAATAGACCTTAGATTCATTTCATAGATCTTTCTGTTTAACATTAAATATGTCTTTGACTAAAATGAATTGTATATTTCATTAAAATACTATATTACATTATTTCCTATTATAGTCTTCTATTTTCTTAATAACTATTGACATTAGAATAAATTAGTAGTAAGAATTTCGTTTCACTATTCTCTTTAATACGACAGACGTTAGAGTTTCTAAAGTCTAAAGCAGTCAAGCCCCATTTGCTCGCGTGTATCTTTATCAGATCCAGCGTCAGTGAAATCGAATGGACAGTCGGCATATCCAGGCGGACAAGCCGGCGCAATCCGGTCCGTTCGAAAATCGTTCCCGAAAGTATCTTTCAAAAGGGGCCGATCGATCGCGTTCGATTACGTTATCACCATAACGGTTAACGTTCATGAGTTGTACAGACACGTTACTCGATTACTTAATCGACCAACTCGATGATTTCGTGCAAGATGTAGACTTTTTATTTCGAATGTTAAATAAAAGAACGTTTATAGCGAAATCCAAATAGAAATTTATTTTAATTCTTAATATGAATTCTATTTTAATTCGATATTTGGATGAAGTTTTATTCATACGCTACATAATATGTGATAAAAAATCGTTGATACCGGAGAAATTGTTTTCAATAAACTATAATGATAAATGGTGCATCAATATTATTATACAGAATTATCTATTAGTCGTTAATTACGGGGTCTCTGGCTGCGTGTTGCAGGTACACCTGTACTTCAGCGCGTTACCGGAAGACAAGATCCCGTACGCTGGTAGTGCCGGCGAACGGGAGCGAGTGAAGCAGCTGCTGCAGCAACTCCCGCCGCACGACAACGAGGCGCGTTACTGCAGCGGCCTGACCGAAGAGGAGAAGCGGGAGCTGAGGGTGTTCGCGGCGCAGCGGAAACGCGAGGCGTTGGGACGGGGACACGCGAGCCAGCTGGAGAGGCCCCACGGCGCAGGATGCCGCGAGTGCACCAGGCCCATCGCGGCCGGAGAAATGGCTGTGGCCGCGAGCCGGGCCGGGCCTTCCGCCCTCTGGCACCCGGCCTGCTTCGTCTGCTGCGTCTGCAGGCAGCTGCTCGTCGACCTGATATACTTCTGGCGGGACGGCAGGCTCTACTGCGGCCGACACCACGCGGAGACCTTGAAGCCGAGGTGCTGCGCGTGCGACGAGATCATACTCGCCGACGAGTGCACCGAGGCCGAGGGCAGGGCTTGGCACATGAGGCACTTCGCGTGCCTCGAGTGCGATCGACAGGTAAGACCTCCCTCGTGATGATTCATTGGTCGTATGATGGATTATATCGTGAGTCGCGATTCATTGATTGCGTGATGGACGCATGGATCGTAGGTGCAGGTGCGTACAGGCTTGTCTCCTTCAATATCCGACGCTGCAAGCCTCGAGTTGACTGACGTTTAATTATTTAACTCGTTTTCCCATTTGATAATAATAGACGTTTCAGTGATTCACTGTATTCTTACAATGGCAGTACGAACTGTTTGTAGACATTCCAAGTGTGGCATTAGAAATGGTAGATTTTCACAACGTCTACATTTCGTTGTAATCTGAATTCAGTTTTGACAAGAATTAGATATATCATATTTCACATTATTTCAGATCACAGAATGATCTTGAGTATTTTGTACGGTTTCCAAGTCGGGTAATTTTGTCTTAATTCGAAGCATGAACATACGGAGCCCGTTCGAAAACGATGTTACTAGCTGTTCATGAATACTAAACGAGGGTCATGAATTATGTATCGTGTTTATAAGTCGAAAAGCCGAGCATCTGCATTTCAACCTCGCTGCTTCGAACGACGTTCAATGCGTCTATAATTAAATTAATTTTAACTTTCTCCACGGTTTTATTAAAATGTATAAACGAGAATTGCTACAAAAATGGTAACATGAAAAAAATTCAAATGGTTACGTGTGAATGCCAGGTTGTATTAACCGATAGAAAGTACACAAAAACTAAGCGGAAGCTCTTAGTCACGATTAAGTTTGATGAAAAAGCGTCGAGAGGAAAAGGCACATGTGCTGTCCCGGCGGATAAGTCCACTAGAAAAAGACTGGATATTTGTAGTCGCGATACAAATGGCAGCAGACTCGTCCGTTGCTGGTTTTTCCAGCGTGACAATTATTTACACTCGACGAGGCACGTCCGTCGAGAGTCATTTGGCCGGGAGCGCCGCGCCGGGGACGATTTAGCTGTCAGCCCCAGACCCCGACCCTCTTTGTGCACCCGTGACGGCCGTCCGCGGCATGCGGCATGATATAATTCATTGAGTCTAGGTGTCGATAAATGTCACGGACACAGTCCGCTGGACAAAGCTTCTTATCGGTCGAACCGGCTCGATAACGAACGATAGAATCGGGATTGCGATCGGTCCTCTCTTCGTGTTCCTCTTCTCTCCCGGGACTCGCGATAATCCGAGACAAAGTGCATTGGATGTAACGATGTACCGAACCGTGGAATGGATTAATGGGACGAAACGGAATCGACGCGATGATGAAAGCGTTTCTTGCGGACGGACGTGGTGATAGATCGAACAGACGGATCGAGAGATGGTCGGCGAATCGGAAAATGAATTTCTGATTCTACTGACCACTTCGTCTCGGGTTGTAGACTTGATTTGTAATATTAAGAAGCCGAGTTACGTTGGATCGGATTGAGATGTAGCCAGAGAGAAATGTATTAAATTCTATACATCGTTTAAGCTTCCTTTAAATGGCTCACAGCCAGACTGTATTTTTATTTGAACTATCCTTTTATCTTCATCAAATCTGCATTCTTGAACACAATCTCTCACACAGACCACTACTTTTGGTTTCAGCTCGGAGGTCAAAGATACGTGATGAGGGAGGGCAGGCCGTATTGCCTCCGGTGTTTCGACGCTTCGTTCGCCGAGTATTGCGACAGCTGCGGAGAACCGATCGGCGTGGACCAAGGGCAAATGTCGCACGAGGGTCAACATTGGCACGCGACCGAGGCTTGCTTCTGCTGCGCCACTTGCCGCACGTCCCTCCTCGGACGGCCGTTCCTACCGCGGAGAGGTGCCATTTATTGTAGCATAGCCTGCAGCAAAGGGGAACCACCGACGACGCCGAGCGACTCATCCGCTGGACCACCGCCGCCGCCTACTTTCCTCAGGTAGCTGCAATTCTACCTTATAACGCTCGTATGCTCACAAAAAAGAATGGAAATTGTTCAAGAGATGCAATTTCAAAGTCTTCACCCTCTTACTGTATAGTATAGTACTTCAGAGTGGAATAATAGCGAAAATTGACCAATTTGCAGGAATGCCAGGAGGCCACCGCCGCCAAGCGAGAGTTCTTCGAGTCCACCGCCACCTCCACCGCCTCCGCCACCACCGGGATCCAGACATACCCTGGGCTCGCCACGTAGTTCGCCTCGGATGAACAGGAGGCATCATCAAACGTCCGCTTCTTTGGCTACGACGCCTACGCAGAGTACGTTGAGTCCGGAGTTCCCGCCCGAAGGGTTTCCTTCGAGCGGTTCCAGACCGAGTGGCCTTGATCGAGTATTACTGGAGAGGAATCTCGAAAGATTACTCCAAGAACGAAGTAGCCACCCCGAAGAAAACCACAACGAATTGGGAAGGTAAATCCACTTTCTTTGAATTTATTTTGTCATGTAATCATTTAAAATGTTCTGTATCAAATGATCTGTAATCTACCGATCGGATGTTAACGTCGTATCTTCTTTTTTTAGGTTGATGCAAGCGCGCGACCGAGAGCCGCTAAGATGCGTTCAGAACTGCGCTCCGACGCATGCATCGAGTATGCCGGAACTTCCTCCGCCACCCAGACCATCGTCGGGGGCGTCCGCGTCCACATCGACCGGAGTCGCCGCCACGGTGTCTGGGATAATACTGGAACCGGCGACGCCGCCGACAACACTTGCCATTAGCCAGACGGATCCCCCGACGCCGACGTCGCGACGGGTGCGATTCCAAGGCGACGTAGACGTGAACGATCACCCCGCGACGTCACGCGTTCCCATGCCCGACAGGAATTCGTCGTCGTCACCCTCTCCGCCGTTAGTGTCGCTGTCGAGAACGAATGTGTCTCGATCTAGAAGCTTACAGCCAGAAGAAGTCGCCAGCACGTCCTCTTGGGGTGTGTAAATTTTTCGCATGGTAGAAAGTTCTTTCGGGGAAGAAAGAAAATTTAGAAAAGGGGTTATAAAATTTTAATCCGTCACGGCTTTACGTCTTAAATATAACATTTGAAACGCCTTTACAATAATCGTAATATTGCATCGATCATATTATTAAATATCGTTTCGATTGATGTGTAACAGGTGTTGCCGGAAGCTCGAAATCAAGGATGGACGGCGATGACGAGGATGTCGAGTCCTGTTGTTCCACGTGCAGCTCATCAAGCAGCTCCGACGAAGCTGCCGCGTACGCGTTACCACCGAGAAGAGCATATGGTGGCGTCAGGATTTCTTACGTGCCCAACGACGCTGTGGCGTGCGCGAAGAAACGTACTCCGACGTCCTCGACGCCGAATCAAACTCACAGAGACTCGGAGAAATGCGTCGTGTCTTGATGCCACCCTCGACAGACTGGGATTGTTTTCACGTGGATGATACTCATAGCTGCTGGATAGGCTTTAAAGAGGTTCACACGAATTTTGAATCGTCAACGGGAAGGATGAACGCGAGAAAAAATTAGAGTTCCTAAAACTGATGTGACCGGGATTCGCGACGTCTTCCGTTTTCCCGATGTGATCCTGAACTCGAAAGAGGTTTTATATATTCGTGTACATAGTGAACGTACTTCCGGAACGGGAAGCGAGTCGCGAAGATTCTCGCGGCGCTTCTTCTATTTTTATTACCCCGTTAAATGTATTTGATACGACGATAATGGAGTGCGATGAGAAGAAGCATAAACTCGGACCTGGAAAGCAATTATCCTTCCTCTCGTCGACGTCCATAATAATAACGTTATATTTTATTACCATTGCCATTCCCGCTCCGCGTAAACGACAGTTCAAACCGGTGCCGTGATCTTATAACACTTAAGATTCGATAGTCACGTTCTGATAAACTTTTTATCAAACAACGGTCTGAAGTGGCATATTTTATTGATCAGGACGGACTTCTTTGCTCCGTATGAAGCAGACAGTATTTTAATCGTGATGCTAATCGCATGACGTTACGCTGTAAGTACAAATGATAAGCGTTCGGACCGAGATGTAGACAATCTGAAGAATTATTCGGGGAAATAAATTCGGACGAAGTCGATTAAATTAAACTCGTATTTTTTATTATTTATTCAAAAACCTTGTATTCAATTATTTCCAGTTTCTTGTGTTTTCTCCTAATCATCGAAGCTGAAAATATTGTCTTGTCGTATCTATAAATCTTTTTATCATCTGTACAACCTTCCTCGACGCATGAAAAATCCTATCTCCTCTATCCCAGTTAAGAACAAAGGAATCGATATTTAGAAAATACTTCTACTGCATCAAAATGCGAGTCCCTACTTCGTTGCTAAAATATGAAAGTGAAACGTAGTCTGTGAATTTATTACTTAATCGTATGAACTCCGCTTGAAGAATCGACCCGAGATGGTCGAGATTAATATGTAGGGCATGAAAAATATTCAAAATTCTAGAAAAACAGTAAAGGCAGCGTTTCACATTCTTACTAAAGAATTAATTCAGGAAATGACCGAAAGCAAACATGACGGATTATGTCAATGGTAAGTTTTCTAATAGACAAAAGTACGTACGATGGTCGTCGCCCGATTAGAGAGAGGAAAAATGAAAACGCATGGTCGGGCAGCGAAAAGAGCGAAAGTGGTTTCTCTCGGCCGAACCAGACGCTCGTTGTTATGCCACTATCTATCTTGTCTACTCGTTTGCACTCGCTAAAACCCTCTCACCTTCTCTCTCCCTCTTCCTAGCTTTCTCTTGTTTCACACGAGAGATCTTTGGTTTATGACCGGCCGTCGGAAGAGCCGCGAGCCACGCCGGTTCTCTATCTATCAACGTCCACGTTTCCCGATCAAGGATCCTCTCATTGCGAAATGATCGAGGACGCCTTTTATATTGGCGTGTACAGCACGCCTCCGTGCCCCGCATATCGACCAAACGATCCAGCGCTTTCAACGCGCCTGAATAGAATTATACGATGTCACGGTAACCCGGGATAACAACAGGTACAACGAGATTACGCAAGCTCTTGGGAGATCTCGTGACCTGCCGGGGATCTATGGGGAATTGTGTTATGATAGGCTGTTATGTATAACGTTCAATTCGGTTTACTTTGGGATACTGTTGAAACAGGTGTAACGTTGCCGTCATTGATAGTCCTTTCCTGTCCAAATGAAATACTTTACATTTTTTTTATCAATCTCTAACACATATTAAAATAATCTTAAACAAAATACGTGAAGAAATATAAGTTTTGTAAGACTGACCAGAAGATCTGTAAGTACTGTAAAGGTCCAGTCAGAAATGCAGGTACGGACAAAATTCAACCCCGGTATTTTTGCCCCGTTTTATATGCCTTTAACATGCAGGCTTTAAAATGATCGAAATGGCCCGAAGTGAAATCCTCGTCGTAAATCGCGTGCTCAGAACAGTTTTACTGGCCAATTACGCAAATCGACGCACCGACGTCTCGCGGGAACATTTTTTTTCTCGTTTACATTGTGCACTTTAGTGGCTTCTAATATCAGAATAAGAAAACTAGAGCAATATAATTATTATTCATTCACAGTAAAAGTGGTGGATAAAAATAAAGATCGGCGCATGATATCCTTCGAAAATTAAATTACAGATCAGAATATCGCAACCAATGAATTATTGATATATCGTATCTTTTCAGTAAAGAATTCCGTCGTTTAATGTTCCAATAAAATTAAATGTCAGGCTGACTCGAATTATAAAAGGAACTAATTCGTTTCCAGCAATGGAATTGTCTGCATTCGTCGGACCACATTTTTCTACCTACGACGATAAATTGCACCGCGGAAAAAATTGAAGGAGCCGCGTCGCGTTAGCGTGGCGATCAAACTAGGCCGTGATTATGTAACTTATAACGCGTAAGTGACTCGCAGCTGTTGTACACGCCTGGAGGAGAACGCACTCTCCCGTGGATTCTCGTTTTCATGGAATCCTCTACTAACCCCGGCCGTTGCATTGTTCTCGGATCCATTTTCGATACGCGTTTCCTTCGGCACACGTTCACCTGTGACCCGTTCCTAAATTCTTCGTGCAATAATTCCTTGCCTCGGACCCTTTAATCTCTTTCATGTACCTCGTACATTTGTGACCTATTAGTTAATTTGGTCACGTCTTTGCTAAATTATTTTCAGGAAAGTTTCCAAGTATTTAAATCCTGCACAGAATTGCAGTGACTCTCCCCAATATTTAAATGTACACAATTTTTTTTTTAAATTACAAAAGAGTTTTATTATTCGTATTTGAATAGAAACTAGTATCCGTGATTTCCATAAGCATTTTACGGATGAATCCTTGCGAGTTGGTAACTCGCGGCGCGCGTTTTATTTATTCCCATCGTGACGGCGAACGTGAGCGGCCACCTGTGAGTACGAACTTCTCATTTTGCTTATCTGAGCCTGCCAAAAAAGGCGCAACGAGTGAGCAAGGTGTTCATACGCCGTGGAATGTAGAAAAGAATGGCCGTGGAAGGAACGCCGGACCCATTGGCCATAATACCACCACGCACACGCAACGGGCTGGCTTGTGCCATTCCGCATACACTTGGCGCCTTCGACGATGCCTAATGACAACGCTGTCATGAAAAACGTATTTCGCTGGCGGAATCGTTGTCTTCCCCCTCTTCGTCCGCGGTACACCTCGAGGGCATTCCTATCCAGCCCCTTACAGCACGTTACCACATCAATTTATGTAACGTTAAGAACTGCTATCTGATCGGGGATTCTTAGCTCGAACAAGTCGATGTGATCGAAACCAGCATTGGTTATTACCAATTTGTTCTTTTATCTTGTGGGGGAAGATCCGAGGGGGAGGAAGATGAAATATAGGAAGGTTTCAAGGTTCAAGGAATGTACGTGCGGTGGATGCATTCTTAAGAAACAGCGTTTGGAAACTGTTTGAAAGTCGAAGTACATTTGAACGTATATCAGAGATTATGAGATTGTATCTTGCACAAAATACCTCGCCCCTTTATTGCTGTTCTTGTTAGATTATCGACCATCTCATAAAAATAATCTGAATACCTTAACAAATTGAGATTGAGGTAGAAAAGAGTATTACCACCGAGCAGCGATTGTTAAAGAGTGGCAACTTTATGGCAGCCTTTATTTCGCATGAAAAGTCGACAATTTTTGACACCCTTTAAAATATACGTATTGCCATTGAAATAAGAAATAGAAAGCAAAACATTCGTGGGTGTTGAGCAGTAAAGAACATTTTACGATGGACGAAATAATTAATCGATTATTCCTGAAGTATTCGAAATAGAAAAGAATTGTATAAAACCTTTCTTGTATATAATAACAGTACCTACAATTTTTATTTGAAGCATTTCTCGAAATTTTGAAAAAAAAATTTTTAATTTTCCGAGATTTTGCCAAGAGGCAGATTCTTCGAAATTCTCATTTTTCCTAAACCGTTGAACCTACGGTAAAATTGCATGCGACCTTGTTTGTAGCTGAGAACTAGAACTACAACTTTCGTCTGAAACATTTTTCGCTGCCGTCAATAGTTAACAAGTATTTTGCAATAAACTGTTTTGTCGTTTTTTGTCAAATTTTCAGAAAGAAAATTTTACTTTTCCCGGGATTTTGCCAAGGGCTACCACTTCAGATTTTTCGAAATCCATTTCGAATTACTTATTGTGGGCTTCAGTCCAACTTTTCAGTATCTATAACGAATATGAAAATGGGGCATTCGTAGTGTTCGATGCGTTAAATCTCTGCTGAATGAAACATCAGTTTCCCGTTACGCGGAGTCTGATTCACGCGCGAATCACGCCGAGCGGTGTTAAAAGAAAGATACCGCTTGAAGCTGATGCTGAGCGCTTCGAATACGCCGAAATAATCTATACCAAAGCGGATTGCGAGCCACGGTGCCGAGAAAACCGCTTATCCGAACGCGAGGAACGCCAATGCAAAGAATTCAGTCAAGCCATGCAATGTACGTGTACTCGCGCGAACTTTTGTAAAGAAAATTCCTGCGGGATACCGATGGGCGGACATGTAAGATTATGCGTACGCAGCACTCTTACGGATCATTGATTTTACGGCTTGTCGACTAAATTTCATATTGACGTTTCAGTCGTTGTTAATTCGAATCGCTTCGAGAGAGACGTAGAAGACTGGATCGTTGAAATTGTTCAGATTGCGAAACGATCTTTCAATTGAATAACGAGACAATCCTACGACTGACAAGAAATTTTCGATCAGTGCAGCAAAATGATACTGAATAAAAATAGTTGAAAATTAGAAATAGGAGAATAATTGTTCTGTACGTTTCATTGCACGTGCAGCAGAATTTTGACCGCTGGGCATTGAACCTGTTTACTGTTGTTTTATTACATGATGTGTATCACATTTTACCAAAAACTTCTTGCCAGGGGTGGGACTGAAAGTTTCACCTGATGATTAAATTTCACGAATGCTTGTGCCAAAATGGCGCGAGTTAATGATACGCGCCGCAAGTAGAGCGGTCCGGGCAAAAACGAATGACCCGCGAGCTCAGCGTGGCGAGATACATATAATTGTCAGAGGCTTGCGCGGTATTTCAGCAAATCCAACATACATTCCAGCGCGAATCTCGGCTCCTTACGTTTCACCTCGCCGCGGAATGCAGTCACCTTGTGGCAGGTGTACGAACGTCCTCAAACGTCGAACGTTCCAGCCTCGTACTTTCCCCCGATTTGAATTCAAACGCGTCCCGCAACGGGACCTTTGGAACTTGGACCAGTCGTCGAGGTTCTGCTTCTTCTCAGTTATAAGAATTCGTTGAATTATTCGAGATATTTCAAGTTTTTTTTAATCGGTCCTCGAACTTGGTATTTAAATGGAATTTTAAAATCAGGTGTATTTTATAAGATGATCAATAATAACGGCCTTGACTGCAGAAGCTAATTAACTCCCTCCCTTACACTTTTCACAGCTAACACGACACTAACCGCCGCACCCAGAATAGGAATGATAATAATAACGAAACCCATAATCGGAATGACAATAACAATAAAACGTATAAAAAGCCGTGCTAACTATCCAAGTCCCATGATTATCCGACACGGAGAACAGTAAGCGTCCTGAATACTTCGGGGCCCGATATCTGAACCTGTACGGTGATCCAAGAAAGTAGCCGATCGGGTTGAATAATTTTGGGTTAGATATGCACGAATACGAGTCAAACTAACGGGTCCATGGAGCTCGTTTACGCGACCTCTGAACGGTCATCCCGTGGCTAAATGCGCGAGAGGCTTTCTCCGAGTATCGGAATGCGGCCTCTCCCTCTGATCGGCTCTCCGGCTCGCTTCGAGGACAGCCATTGGAGGTACGTCGGCCTCCGGGTCCGCTCCCTCCCTTCTGACCTCAGCTCCTTTACCATAGCTACGTATCGGAAAATCGAGCCTCGTCGATTGTTTCTAGAAAAACAACCCATAGCTTTTAACGCGCTTATTGTTGTAAAGTCAATAGTCAACTCTTGAATCACAACTTCAAATAAGCGTGAATTACGTATTTCCTTTCAGCGAGCGTCTGAGCACAACATTCATTCGCTACTTATTGAAAGCACGTTTAGCTTCCACATTTCATATTTGTTAAGACATCGCTGAATAGAAATCGCGTAGAAAGGAACTATTTTAACATCGCCCGGAGTGCTGGAATTTAAATGTATGCTCGATTTTGATCAGAAGTAGAGTAGGATTTTTCTAATTGAGATCACACGTCCTGCGCGGGTATATCGTTGAATAATTCACTCCGATATGAATTGATTGGTTTGTGTACAGCCCCGTTGCCTCACTGATTTCAGATTGCGAAATGTTACATGGATGGTGACTCAGTAATTAAGCATTTCCAGGGGAAAAATTATTCGCGCGTAGATCTGTTTCGATTAGTGATCGGCCGTTTACCGCGGAGCAACGTACACACTGGCGGATAACATTCGTCTCAGATTCACAAATCCACGTGAACCGGCGGTTTCCATGAATTCTGTGCACAATAAAATGTCTTAATTCCGACATCCTCGGAATCTAAACATCCTCGTAAAGTACAATTCGTTTCCTTAGAAGCATTCGTGACTTTTTTACGTTGTAAGGAACTTTGATCAGGCACAGAGTACAAGACCTGTTTACCGGCCTGTACGCAGCCTAAGGCGCGAATGAACAGCACTCGATCAAGCTGTAGGCCGCGCCGCGTGCCCGAGCAGCTCGCTTTCCATTCCGATCGAAAGGTTTTGCTCTTGCCCGCGAGTTACAAGTTAAAACGTACAGGCTCCGGTATAAACACCGGCCGCAATTCGTGCACGACGGACACGCTTACTACGCGACGCGAGTAAAACCAGCTGAATGAAATTTAGTTTCCGTTCGAAGGATACCCGCGGATCTCGGTGGACACCGACGATATCGGAATACCGATACACCGCGAAGGTTGAGTTGCGTCAATTTTTTTCGCGACCAGAAATGCACTGTTGTGCAAGCAGAATTTCAGCGAACGGTCCGGTTTCGTCACGAAATTCAAATGATTTTTATAATTCTTGTAATTATCTAATCACAAAGCTTGTTTCATGGTAAATAATTAAATTCCAGTTTCTTTTCGAATCGTACATTCTTATTGATAATTTGAGAGGACGTATAATGTATTGGTGAAGAATGTTTCAAGGTAAAAATGCGTATAATGTAAAAACAGAATTCTAATATTAGAGTTGTTTACCATCTTATGAAAGCTCTAACGCTCTAACGCTGAATTACTATTAATCGGCAGAAATATTCCTGACGTCTTAAGTACTTTCTATCGCTCTTTCCTCTTTCAATCTACTCTTGTTCTTTCCATTTTATTTATCGGTTGCGTTTGACGTGAAGCCTTTTTGTCCACGAAATTGGAAACAAATCGGTGACCCGAATGTCGTTCGGCCACCCTGTCAGAGGGAGCTAGGGAGCTCGAGGAGCGACGCGAGGCCCGGTAAGGCCCCACGGCGAACGGTGAAACGACGAGGAGGGGCGCACAGGTATTCAGGTAACCGAGCAGGACAGCCTTAAGAAAGCAGGCGAGCTGGCAGCCAGTCGGCGGGGGCAAACGTCGGAGGGGTCCGGTGCGGGAGCGTAAAGTGAGTTTTCGCTCGCGGCTGCTTTGCAATGCCAGCCAGTCGAGGTGAGTCGAGTCGAGTCGAGCGGCCCCGAGTCTTTCTCGAGTCAGTCTGAGACGTGGCCCCGTCGCCGTGTCGTCGTCGCATCCTTCTCGATCTCGAATTCGTCGCGCGCTACCTGTCGAAATCGAACAATCTTATCGTCGATCCACGGCCGATCGAAATGGCCGCGTCGCTTTGAAGTCCCGCGACTCCGGGTTCGTCGATCCAGTGAATCATCGGTTCACCAATCGCGCGGACTCGCGCGTTTACCTCTCTCGTTCGTCCTCGAGGCTCGAATTGTTCGCGAACGCGATTCTTGTTCTTTTTTCGTTATTGCGAACCGACGATGACGTCGCCTCGACGGTGCGTCCTCTGAGATCCGCTTCCTTTTCAGTGCAGTGATTCTGTGTGTGCGTGACGCGAAAGATCAGCTGGAACCTGGAAGGATACTTGCGATAGGTAGGGAAACATCTTCTCGCGGGATTTTTCTTGCCGCGGATCAACCACTTTTGGTGAACAATTAACAATCTGTTCCGTGATGATCGTAAAGATAAATCAAGGATGCGGGCTATAAAATCAAGAAGAATTACACAGTCCGAGGTGAAGAAATCAGTTCGATAAATCAACGTTGAACAGGGGATAATTTGGAGACAAATTGATCAGCGAATAGCGGTCGATTTAAAGAGCCGCTGTTCGACCATCGATCGAAGGTCGGTTTGTTTTTTCTCTTTTCTCTTTTTATCAACCGAGGCTTCCTACGTCCACTGCTTCATATTCTTCTCCAGTAATATCGCGCGTATGGCGTAATAACTCATTATACGCAGGACGCTGGTGAGAGGAAGTTTAATGATACCGGGCGTGATCGACGTTCCTCGCCTCTTCATTTTTCTTAATTATGCGCGGAGAAATTGCGCTTCTTGAATCTGCATAATTCTGCATACACCGAGTGCATACATCCTCCTACGCATCCTTATTGCGCGCGTATCCATCCGCCTCCAGCTTACGAAGCGACGCTAGTACGACCCGTTCTCTCATTAGCCGACGTTCGTTTACGTGTTTCCTGCTATTCACCTAAGATAAATTCCGTTCCTCGTCATCGCATTCCTTTCTTCAAGTTCGTTATTCCGCTGCGTCGCCATCGGATCGCGTAATATTCCTGCCCCGGGTGAAAACGCAGTCTGACAGTGAGAACGAGACGAAAACTGAATGAAACGAGCAATCGTTTCCACAAGGCATAGCTGAAGAGAGTGGAGAATGGGATACCTACACTCTCTAGAGAGGTTCGCGGTTTCGCTTTATTCCCGCGGTCGCCGCGAATTTTCTTTCCTCGCTCTCCCGGCGAGAGATCTCGCATCAATGAGAACGATCAGTCACCGCGACGTCCTTAGAAACGCTATTTTTTTTTTTCCGGGGCAATCGGAGAAACACATTCCTTCTTCGGCTGCTACACTTTTGCCATTGTTTCGCGGCTGACCCGTTTTGGTGTCCCGAGTGTTTCTTCAGATATTCACGATGAGTCTTCATCTTTTCTATCCTTCCACGATCGATAACAATAGGCTTCATACATTTTTAAGTCACAGTCGATCACGTCGTAAGTAAATTGCGAATGTTGTCGACTTTCTACTCGACGAAACGTTACACATCTTAAAATCGTTAAATATGTATTGTACTTTCGCGTTCACGTGAACATCCAACGCGGTCTCGGTGCTCTTATATTATTTCTGACTTTCGCGACGCCGCAAGATTTTTTCGTACGTACCCACAATCTTGGGAAGATCGCGACGGAACAATATGTGGTCGCGATGAACGTAGAAGGTAAACACAGGAATCCGAGAAAGTTTAGCCGTGCAACCTGTTAACTGCGCAGTTATCTCGTCAGGAAACACACAGTGTTTGCAATTCCTTTTAGCAAAAAGAATCAGCGAAACCTCTCTACATTCCATGTACGTCTCAGACGCGTTCAAAACTGCAGCCTTTCCTATAATTTCTTTAACACTTATTATCGACCGGTATAGTTCGTGTATATTTTTTAATTAAATTGCAATATAGTTATCGTCAAGGTTCGTTTCATTCGCAGAGCCGTGCGAGATAGAGCGGGAAAAAAGCAGGAACGCTTTCTCAAGATCATACACGGGATCGATCAGTGGCATTTAGAGCGCGAATAAGTAAACGGACAGCGTCTACGTAGTCGTTAAAGACAACGACATCGGTGTTCAGTGGAATGTCAACTCGTTTTCCACGAGCCGTCGAAGGCGGATCGTTTTCTCTACGTTATGTACATGTGTATCTCCCCTCTTACCTTTACAGTTCGACTCTTACCTCACTTCCACTTGGAAACTCCACGCGAGAGCTAGTCGTACGGTCGAAATCACTATTATATTATATTTTCAAAGCCCTCAAACCTGTCCATCTGCTTCGTCCTTTAACTAATTGAGAAACATGAGTCGATATTGTGGAACGGCATTGATTTTCACGAAGAGCAAACAGTGAAGAATGCGATTAACATGTCCCGAAGATCGCAAGAACCGTTCGTTTCTGAGAAGTTCTGACGAAATATTTAAGAAGTGACGAGATTTTCGATGAGACAATGTCTATTTTTACACACTGTCGTACATCCGGATTTTGAAAAAAAAAGTAGCATGAAGACTGGGTATCGAGTAGTTTGCCAACAACGCGATTTGCAATTTCATAGGGAACGAGCGTGTGTCGCTATTTGCTCGTGTGGATCGAGAATGTCAGGTTTCCACGAGACGATAAAAAAAAAAACCACCTCGTGCTTCTTCCACCTTCTCGAATGTACTCCCACTACTGTCCACCTGCACGCTCATCTCCGCGAGCGAATTGCGCCTTTCCAGGGTAGGGACCGCGTACCACATCGATGAGGTCGGTCTGAGGCCGCGTTGAGGCCACGCTGGGATTCCTCAGAAGGAGATCCACTCCCGGGCTGTCGCAACGTGCGTAGAAACGTTCGGTTGTCGCAACAGTCGAATATATTAATTCCCTATCAACTTACACGCACCTGATAGCTTGCCTCCCTATTACGTTTTTCGCAATCGCTCGGTGCTTCGAGTGTCATTATTATTTTGCTTAGGATCTCTTACGTAATCGACATTGTCTGTCTTAATCGTTATAAAAATAAAAAAAGTTTCATGATGACGATATAAGTTTATAGGTGTATTGTTAAAGAACAAGAAGTTATTTCCCAACATTATTTACGATTCCAATTAGCATTCACTGCGGTGGTCGTCCAGAATATAATCTTGTTATAAAACCAGTCAATTTGAGGAGCGACTTCTTTGAAATTTCTCCGCTTCGCGATTCAGTTTTTCCTTAAAAGAAGGTTATTAACTCGACGTCGTCCAGTTTCGTGCAACGCGCTCGACAGCTCACCGTAATTGCTCCATCTACCTTTGCCGTCTTTTGCTTCCTCTATATCTATCTAATGTTTCTGCAAAGCATTCGGAGCATTGCTTTTTTCACGCACGTCCCTGATTCGCAATCCCGTTTATCTCACGAGTTTATACTCGACAGGGGAGGATGGTATATCGCGTGCGAATTCGACGAATCGCAGAACCGTTATCATTTCCTGTATCGATGAGGTATTCGCGGTTTTCTGCATAATCACAACGGTTCCAGAAAGGAAAGCGAATCGAGAAAATGACACGTTCCACCGACACGCCGTAATTCACCGTGTACCGGCCACCGGTTAATTCTTGTTATTATATCACACTCGAGTCGGACTCGAAGGCAAAGGTCAACACATTCCTGTTTGATGATGAACACGCGTAAAATAACGAATCGGTCGTCGGAATTTATGCGTGTTTCTGGTTCACGGTCGCAAATTATTTGAATAAACCGTCGAAACCGTTGCGCAATAAATGAATGTTTACAAGTTATTCAAAATCGTAAATACGAGTAGATCTTGACGCATGGTAATTTACTAGATATCAGTGAGGCAGGTTGAACTTGAGGAACGAGTTTACACGAGCTTCAAAAACTGGCCTTGGCTTCGCGCGTTAGTCGCACAGTTCCCATAACAGGCTCTAACTTTCAACACTGTCCGCGCGTTATAAAGCAAGACCACCGATTAAAAAGAAAATCGATCTGTCTGTAAAACGTCCTTTTCCGTCAGTAAAAGTGAAAACGCATCGAGCTAAGGAATTCCTCTTCTCTTACAGATTATTGGCCTCGCCGAGGCGGAAGCAGTCGATCAACGAACGGTGCCCATGCCGAGCGTTAAGAAAAGTCAGCTGGTAGGCTTTAGGAGCGTGAGAGGACAATTCTCTTCGGGACCGACCGTGTCAACGAAATCATCGTGGCTGTGAGAGGACGTCGAACGTGCTTGAAAATGTCGAGAATTATGTCAGGACTGATTCTACTGGTGTTGACGGTGGTGTCGTTTAGAGAAGTGCAAGGACACGTCGCCTTGACTTTCCCACACGCGAGGAAGTACGACTTGGATTTCCTGGACAACGCCAGGACGCCTGGGCCATGCGGAATGCCTCGTGGTAAGTGTCAAGCATGCTCGGACAAGTCTTTTTAGTAAGTCTTAACGCGCTTACAAATTCTACGATGTGCCAATTTGCGAGAGTCTTTTAAATTCTCAAGGACTCGTATGAACGCGTTACCACTTGGTAAATTACTAAATAAGGTAAATGTCCCAATTTCTACTCGTTAGAATTTTAAAATAACATACAAAGTTATAAAAACATAAGCGAAATTGGGACATGTAAAATAATTTAGTCCTTCAGGGATTAATGGGAGACAGTATGGGAGAGCTTGACGTATGCTAATACAGCGTTCTCAGCCGATGCACATGCCTGTGAGATAAGATTGACGAGTTTAGAACCGTGGTCCCTACACCTGATACAAAGCCTGAGTCGGTGAAACCCGAGACGGCGCATCACGTACAGAAAATCGAGTCGCGTTCGATAATGTTACGTAGCAGGTTGTCCGGATGCTGTGGCCCGATCCTTGTCACACGATCCACAGCCCGGAAGTTATCGCGGGATGCCTCGCGTGGTAAAGACTATGACGTCGTTTGTTGACGGCGTGGAACGCGAAGGTATACGATGACTGGGGATAGGGAAGAAGGGGTGAGTGGATTCTATGGGAAAACGACATTAACGCGAAGACACGTCTCGGTGGGGATAGCTCGGTACGTAGTCTGATTCGAAGCGACTTTCACCGGCTCGAAGGGAACTCGTACCTCGGTTGCCCGGCCATTACCTTCCACGTCTTGCCTCACTCCACCAGCACGTACTTACATAGTACCTTTTTCCTTTTTCCTGAGGCTTTCGCGGGGAGTACGTGAACTTTAAATGCACATCGCTCCTATCGTGATAGAAGGGTACACCGCAAGAATTACCAGTTGTGCATTACAATCGGACCAACCCCATTTTCCCTACGATCGTACATACATGCTATCCTGCGATTGCTGCTGCGATTCCACTGACTGTTCAAATTAATTGTTCCTTTGTAAAACTGAAGGCATTAATCAATGAATTAATCACACTGAATGCGTATCTTAATTCCTCTGCGACTCGACCGTATAATTAATTTCTTTTTTGTCCCTCGATATTCTCTTGCTGTTCTCTCATAATTTAACCAGCTTCCCGGATGTTCAAAAGGAATGCAAGCTTTCTTTTTAAATGGGAAAAAAAATTGTACTCTCCGTAGAAGGCAGGATCAGTCCAAGAACGCTGTCCGTTCGCTTCTGGAAACTAATTGTATTTTGCTTCGCTCTCGATTATTTCCGGAACTGCTACCTGCATACGATAACCCGGCATAGATCATTATCTTGGCCCTCGGTCGAGGATGTGAAATCGCTGATTACGTTCGAATTCATTTTCATAACGTCATGACGCGTGGCGTATGAGCATAATTAGAACCAGATTGCAAATTTTCATGCAAACTTAATTTTTTGCACTCTGCTTTGATATTCTTCATATTTTTCTGTATTACGTATCGCGTTTTAATTTTCTTCTGAATGTATAAATTCTGCAGTCTGATTATAACAGCAGAGCGTAACAGAAAATAATTTTTCTGCTTTTCCGGGGTGTGAATGGGAGTATCTAAAGATTTCGCTGAACTTGCGTTTCCGGCGATTGTCATGAATTATCGCGTCTCGTTACCGCGATGAATATTAAACAATTCATTGTTGGCTGTAAACTTCCCGCGTCTAAATCGATGAGCCTGGGAGAAGATCGGAGGTTTCCGTTTCTCGGCGCGGTTTATCGCGCGCGTTCATGAAAATTTGTATTGAATGCAATGGTTGCGTAATTCGGTGTACGCGGCTTGCGTGTTACAGGTGACGTTAAGAGCACGCTGCTGTCTGGGAGCAACTTCAACGTCACGTGGCATCTGGCCTATCCTCACCGAGTAAGTAATTAGTCTTCCTCGCGCTCCAATCAAGCTTAATTAATCTATCAAGTCCCAAACAGTAAAGTAACTAAGACTTCTGCTAACGCAATTACTATTTTTTATGAAAGTACATGAAGAAGGAAAGGAATGTTATAACGAAGGATTGCATAATACTATAATAAGTACATCTTACGTAGATTACAGTTGTACTATTTCTATGTAATAAAATGTACAATGAAAAATATTAATTGTATATGAAAAGAAAATGACAAACAAATATTTTAACGAGTTTTGCTCAAGCGAGTATTGAATTCCGTTTAGTTTCGTCGACGACTGGAAAATCGTTGCAGCGAAACTGGTCGGTAATTTCTGTGCACGTTTCCGTTTCTTAGTCGAGTACGCGTAAACATCTCGTGCCACGCATGCTCGGTCGCATAGAAAAAGAGTCTAGGAAATGTGCGGTTCGTACAAAAGAAAATGAACGTACGCGGTTACGTGAACGTTGGATAAAATCATATCGCGTTTTATCATATTTCGCGTGCTCGAACTTTCACTGATACTTTCCTTTAAGTATTCAATCTCGTATACCGTACTCTCTGTTTACGCCTGGTAATTGGAAACAATTTGCACTCGCCTACCAATTTAGTTTATTACTTAATCTACTGTGACCTATCACCGATGAGTCATTAATGATACTACTGGGATGAATACTCAATGAAGTTTACGATTAAGTGCTTCAATGTAAATTGAAATTATGAATCATTCGTACACGAGAAGGATTATAAAAGCCTGTGTCTTCTTAGTCTATAGAAAGCTCGAGGTTTGTTTGAGAAAATAGTACTTTGAAATTCTAATGCATCAACGAACGTAAGAGGTTTTCTAAAATCTGCGTTCTTGCACAATTCTCGGTACTCCTCCGTTTGCAAAAATTGGTAAATGCAGCACATTTTAAGTTCTCTTAAGCCCCGCGTACGTAAGAACACAATAGCCGATCGGGAATTCTTATTCCCCGCATCGTGTCGACTATATACCCGGCTCATCATCAAAGACATCACGAATTTGTCCGCACGTGGTCTATACGAAAGGGAAAGAGAGGCCGAGGAGGCTCCAGCCTACGCTTGCACGTCGGTCGCTCAAGGTGACGCTCGTTGAATAATTCAGAAGCGAAGCTCGGCATGCGTTCTCGCGGTGACTTCGCGTCCCGCGGTGGCTTGCGAGATAGGTAGGTCGCAAAGAAAAGGTGGTAAAGGGATACGGAGTCGCTTTGCATGTGAACGCGTGCACGAGAGAGCAGCTTGTGCTCGGTGAAACACATCGGTATGTCGGGTACCGTAACACGGCTGTCGCCAATGCCTCGGATCCGAGCCAAAGCTCTCTGCTCTTGATCCAACGCCTCGCCTTGTTGGAGAACACCAGTACGATCGGGATAAATTAAATGTTCCGGTATAAATAAAATAATTGTTACTACTGGTAACAACCAGGCTGCATTTGTACGAAAACTAAATAAAAACATAAAAATTAAAAAGATTGCTAAATTGCATTTTTTAAATTGATATGCTACAAGTCTGATTTTGCATAAAATTCTGCTACGGTCAGAAGTTCAATATTTGCATACAAACGACATAAAGAGAATAAGAATATACATCCATAGTCAATGATTGCTGTAAGACTGAACATAAAAGACTTTTTACGAAGAATTCTGGTCTCGACAGCAAACGTATATGACTTTAACCCATTTGCAATCGTTAGCGTATATACGCATAATTTTTCTGCTCATTATCACTTTGGCACCATGACCACCCAGTACTGGGCGGATCAATATGAATCGCCATTTAAAACTATCTACAAGTGTATCAACTGTTATAAGAAATGTATCAATATGGGATCCCACAAAAAAAGACAATCTTCATGAAGTTAGGCAGTTCACGACGAGACTGGAAGAGAGGCAGATGTGTTAATTTCTTTTCATTTATAATAAGTCTAATTGCCCTAAAGAATTGCTTGTTCGTCGCTTAAAATAAACTTTATTCTGCATCTTTGCATTTAAAATCCAAAATCAATTGGTATGTGAATTATTGAACCAGTCCTCATGAAACGTAGCACTAATTTTTATTATACTGTTTATTTATAATGCAGTTCGTTTAAGTTCATCTTTAGACAAATCGTAAAACTGATTTCCTTATCGTAATCGGGTTCGTATTTTGTCCACATACAAGCACATATTTTTCTCTCAGGTCTCAGATTATTGGATGTGAATTCCATCGCGCGCAAATATCCACGGCATGAGAAAAATTCGACAATAACATTAGAAACAGCACAGGTGTGTACCGTGCGAAGCGGTACCACTCCGCGAGTCCGCCTCTTCCCTTTCTCTTTACCGTTTCTAGTGGCAACGTAATCGTTGTTCCACGTTGAAAAACATCGCGGAGATTCCCTCGCGTGAATTTTCTCTCGAGAACTGTCACCAAAGCTGACAACCATTTCCGGAGAATGGATTCACCTCCGACCATTGAGCTATATAAAACATCTGGAGTGTGCACGAATGGGAGGGGTCGTTCGCCGACAAAGAGGAACCGTGAAGGAATCTCTTTCTCTTTCTAAGTGTGTAATGCATGTTTTCTGAACCTGAACTCTGACTCGTATATGTCGAGTGATTGACAATATTATAAATTCAAGTGATTCGATAGAATATTGAACTTCTATCCCCACCATAGTTAAATTTACTACAAGATAATACAAATAGAGAGAGAGAGAATATAAAAAGAAGGATAGAGATCCCCCATAGCTTCTCGCTTCTTGGAGCATCGTCGCTACTCTTCTATCTTA